CAGTCACATATTTATATTTATTGATATACAATCAATGTTTAGACTTTAGGCTTCTTCTCTGTCCCCTGGTATAGATAATGCGCATCCTTGGCAGAAGACGGAAGAGCGAGTGTAGTTTGGTAGGGAAGGGGGAGGGCAGAGGAAATTGTTTGAGGATGAGAGAAAGATGAGAGGGAGGAAGGAAGAGAGGTGGTTCAATAGGACAGGGGGATCAAATGGAGATGTGAAGGCAGGAACTAAAAGGCCTGTGAGCATGTGAGATGAATGACAGGAGGAGATTAAGAGGGGGGGGCAGAGAGAGTTGCAGATGAAGGGGGGGAAAGGAAAGAGTTGCAGATGAAGGGAGGGAAAGGATGGAGAAAGATCTGGCATGTTAGGAGAGGGGAAAGGAAAAGATGAAGTCTTTGGAAAGAAAGACATAAAGATGGGGATAACTGTGAAGAATGAGCAACTGATGAAAAGAGGAAGAGAAAGGGATGGTAAAAAAAAAAGAGGAACAGGCTCCCCCGGGATTGTGCTAACCCCAGTAACCCAGATACCAGTTAGCCGAGGAGATAAAGCGTCCTCCTGCTGCTGCTACGGGACAGAGCTCAACTCCAGCCTACTGTGGTTTTAGCAGGCTGACTGTCAGTCACTGGAGCCCCACTGAGAGAAGGGGGTGGTGGGCCTGGCAGCCGTATGCTCCCCTCCTGGCTGCCTTCATGGCCTAGTTGATTTGATTCCTCTCCCTTTTCTCTACTTGAGTGTGTGAGGGCAAGCATGTGGGGATTTAGTGCAGTTATGTTGAGTAGAAATTGGTGCAGTGAGAAATGGGTTTCATTTGTACTGTGCTGTGTAGTGCACCTATTTTAAAACAGTAATTTATGTACTACAAGATCCATATTTTGTAGTGCCCCAAATTTAGATTTTGCAAGCTATAGAGTCAGGCACTAAAATACAGCCTTTTGTAATATATTGGCTTTTATAGTCTATGTATATTAGTTGTTTGTTTTGATGGCGTGCCGCACACGAATGCGGTGCTGTTTAGCAAGTCCCAGGTGTCAGATCTTTCCATGCTGGATAATATAAATAAATTAAAAGTATTCTATGGCAGAAACCCTTCATCTGTACCACAAACTGATGCTTTAGCTTTAGAGCCATAATTTGTTTTTTTCAATTACATTTACATTACATTACAATTATTTGTAACAATTTCAGATATTTTGCTAACAAACAGACAAAACATAACCCCTTTCCAATTCTTTGCCAGACACAATTAAGGAAAATAATTTAACCTACTATCAGCCTAACCTGTAGTGCATTACATGGATTCAGTCACATACTGGTTGTTAGCTTCAGTATTTAGGGGCTTTTTTTAACACTAATGTTTTTTTTTATATAAGCGCTACTGAAAAGCAAGAATTTCCCAGTTATGTGTGATGTAAGTGTATTTACAGCATAAAGTAGCTGTATGCATACGCCACGGCAAATGCAGGTATGCATACTTCTCTAATAGGATTTCATCAAGCTGTATGTAGTATTTAGGTTAAGGTTACGTGTGTGATTTTGTGTCGTGTATGCGGTGGTGCGTTACAGCATTTTAGTGCTTAATATCTAATCTGATTACTGAGTGAGTGAACAGCAGCAGATGGCTGACTGTGGTTTATGACTCTATAGCTCCATGGGGGCAACGGTTTCTATTTTAAAAAGGAGTTGCAGTCAAAATAATGTCCCCAATACATTTTTTAGTGTGCCCCTCTGAGACGAGGCATGAAGGCTGGATATAAACTAAGAGAGTAGCTGTTACAACAACCGAAGGTGTGTTGTGCAGCTGTATCACAACTCGTGTACATTTCCACAAAGTCTGTTTTGATATAAATGTATCATTAAGCCCCAATAGTGCAGCAAACACTGGTGTACTGCATTAAAACAAATATGCTGTGACATTTGTTTTTGAGGCAATATAATTTTAGTATATGTTGTAATTTATAAGTTGCATTATTTACAAGAAACGGCAAAATGTTCTTATGTCATTACTCCAACATCCACCAAACCCCTCATGGTCAGTTTGTATTATGGTCAGTATTATGAAGTGGTTCATAGTTCAAACCTCCGTCCCTTTCAAATGCAGCACTGATCTTCACTAAAATTGTTCAAAAACTAAAACAAATGCCTAGTATAATGTGAGATGTAGTTCAGAAAGCTGGAATTTGAAAGACCTCATTCATATGTTTATTTTATGCAGTATAATACTACTTTTTTAATGTGTTCATCTTACTCACATTTTCATCAGATACGTAGATAGGGTCGGTAGTTATTAGCAAGACAGCTGGTATTGTTATAATGAGATGATGGAGTGGAATTATAGCACCAGTACACTCTTTAGGGATTGTAACAAGCCACCTAATAATCCAGCAGTATTATAGCCACAGTGGTATCATTTTAATTGGATGATGATAGTAATACTGTAAGAGGGACATTTGTAATCTAATCTTCACTAATCTGTTGTACTAAAGCCTTAAAGGTCTGTTGAATGTGTGGCCATGCTTGTGACTGTTATACAATTACCTCTATTCATCACACCTACAGTATGAGTTAATGTTTAATAACCGTGTATGATTCCAGGGCTTCTTGCCCTTAGACGGTGGAATATTTCAATAAAATGGCATTGAAAACATACATGACTATTTAAGTTTACATACTTGGATTACTAAAATGTTACTTGGCCCTTTTACATGTGAGAAAAAAAGATCATTTTAGACAGTTTATACGCCAAAGATAAAAACAGGTCAATGTTTCACTCTTGCAAATTTTCCTAAGATCTAGAAACCAAAGGGAAAAAAAAAAAGATTTACAAAAAAACACTAACAATTTATTCACAAAGCACACAGGTATCTCAACTGGAGATTAAGGATAATTGCAATAACATAAGATACAGAACAAGAAAACAATAGTAACAAAAAGGTTAATTATACCAAGAAATGTATAATAATATGATATGAATGAGTGTGAGGCTTTCATGTCAGAACACTGCAATAAAAACTACAGGAAACTAGTGCAATGCCTCTCCATATACACAGGATGTAATAATGTATATAGGACTTGTGCACAAGAGTTTTACACACATACTATTGATACAGCAAGTTCTTAACAGAGAGTGCTGAGTCAAGTTATCAGATACATAATGTCCTCCTTTACAAATCTGCAGTCATTGCGCGCGCACACACACACACACACACACACACCCCCCCCGATATGTATTTCTCTTTGAAGAAGTCTTTGAAGAGGCAACTGTAGGTCAAGTTGTTAAAAGAGCTGAATCAGCATTTCCTGGGTTACTCCATATTTCTCTCTCTGTTTCTTTCTCCCTTTTTTATCAGTGTGAAGTGGTCTGGCTGTGACCTAAACACAGAAAAATGCTGAATGTAGTGATGTTAGCAGTAGTGATTTTCTGCTTGCTACGGGCTCGTTCAGAACAGTAATGAAACAACCAGGGTTGACAGTAACAGTAACTGAAAACACAGTTCGTCAGCTGGATTTATTGTCTCCATGTTTAGTGCATTCAATAAGTCATTCAATAAAAATAACTAGATCTTTGAGCCCTGAATAACCTGGTAGATGATGATAAGATGATGCAGATTACCAAAGAAAGGTCTGTTTCCCCAATACTGGAAATGAACCATAAAATCAGTCAGTCAATCAGATTTGGTTTGCTTGTGTCTCTTTTGAGTTCAGCTGAAACCGGTCACTGTAGTGATGATGACTTAACAAAGCCTGCAGGGATAACCAGGAAGGGACAGCATGACACAGGAGACAGCAGAGTGTGTGGCTTGCATAAGGATAAGATGTATGTAGATGAACCTATGAAACAACCTTAAAGAGGATAAATGGGTGAAAGACAGAGACAAAACGGTGCTTGTGTTTGCTTGGCTCTGATACATGACAAAAGCCTTCCTTTTACGCACTGCAGTATGAATATTATTCCTGCTGTAGCCTCACACTGTGCTAATAGAGTAAATGTGAAGAAAGCTATAGTTAGTTTTTTTTACATTAAGTAACTTGTTTTCTGAATTAGACATCTAACCTTACTGTAGGTTTTCCTGTAAGAGCGCAGGATGAATTCTCTAAGAATTCCAGAGGGTCCACCAGATTGGAAACTGCAGCCTAGCAGCCATACGACTGGTTGAAAATAGTAGAAATTTGCTTCACAGAGACTCTGGTATGGCTTGGACGTGTTGGCCACTTTCACTTTATTTGGAAGGTAGGACTCAGTGACCAGTTTACCGACAGACTGGTTCACTGACTGTTCTTTGGGTGGCTTGCTGTTTAACCCAGTGCTTGACAAGACTGACTGCCTGGTTGATTTAGAAGTTGGCTGACAAGATTGACCACAGTGTTTCCCAGTGGTTGGGAATTTATTTGTTTAAATGCATCTGATTTATGTTGAGTTATGAGTCCATTAGGTCCTTCTAAAAAGACCATGTGTCACTGTTTTACTGGTGTGTATTGACTCTTTACTGACTGACTGAATAATTTACTGGTTGGTAGCCTTACTAAAACACATAACCCCTCTGCATCACTCAGACACACGCTCAATAATTTGTAGTGTAGTATATGCAGTTGTGCGTGTGTGCTTAAACACAAACATGTGTATTACCCCGCTCTCTTTCTACAGTTGTTTGTTGTCTCAGTTTTATTATCTCTTCTCCACTTGTATTTATTCTGCATGAGTCCTCTTTTATGTCTTTATGATTATTAATAATGTAACCTGTGTTTGTGTCAATGTATAAATGTATTAAGTGCAGTATGAATGACAGACTGGTGGTGACTGAGGTTATTTGAGTGGGTGTTTTTCTGTCTCAGCTATTCTTTCAGCAGTGTGTTGAAAAGGGTTGATGAAGCAGTTTTGTTTGCATAATCTCCTTTTCCCTTTGAGGGCACAATACACGTTGATTACAAATTACTATACAACTATGGGGGAACATTTTGACCTCTGTCCTCTCTGTTTGTCTCTTTTTCAGAATATGACGCCCAGTTAGCCCCAGCAGGAGCATCTGAGTCAGGTATGGCGTCATCTTCCTACTTGGAACCCAACCACAATCACGCCGCAGCGGGTGGTTGTGGGGTTAAATCCCGTTCTGGGATTCCCGGTGGTACTGGTGTTGGTACCAGCGGCTCTGCTGGAGGCCTTGAGCGGCCCCCAGGCTCCATGGACCGGGTTCTGAAGATCTTCCATTATTTTGAGACAAACAGTGAACCATGCACCTGGGCTAGTAATATCAGGCATGGAGATGCTACAGATGTCAGGGTAAGAGGCACGCACATTTTCTTACCTTTTTTAGCCCGCCATCATCATCATTTCCCTGGTTTTCACCTTTTGCTTTGTTCATCCTTTCACTTGTTTCAACAGGGTGTTATCCAGAAGATAGCAGAGATCCACAAACTGCGCTGTGTGTCCTCTCTGGGTCTCCGTCTGACCCATCTGCACTCTGATGCACTCCATTGGTTACACCCTGATTTGGGCGTGTCTCACATCAGGGAGAAATATGAGAAACAACACCCCCAGGAGGAGTGGAGGTAGAATTACAACCAGATTTTATGTTTTATACTCACTGTTTGCTCCCAGTCACCATGTCTTTCCTTGTTTCACTTTTTCCATAAGTGATACTAGAGAGTAATGCATATGTTTGCAGAGTGCGCTCAGATCAGTGAGCAGAGACCATCAGTACTCCCTTGTGGTCTAGGTAGCTGTAGGTTGATACATATGGGTTCTTTAATGTGCATATGTCAATAATAAAATATCAAACAACAGGCCAAGTAACATAACATTACTAAATCTCCCCAGAGGAGAACAAAAGGCTGATCTTTACAACAAACATAGTGGACTATGCAGAAGCAGCACTTGCTAGCAACCTACTAACCAAGAGTATTTTATTAAGCCTACTTTACAAGCTACAGCTACATAACATATGGTCCCAATGAAAGCATTTTATACTGTCAATATATCGCAGACCAAGACCTGTAACATACTAACATACATGTGAACTACTGTATACAAGCAGTAAAAAATAAGATATTACAACCAAGTATTTAACATTGAGTTGCTCCTTTTACGGCCACTGTGTTGATTTTCTTGAGATTTAAAAGTCATCATATAATATTCTTCCTCATTCATCCATAGCTCTCTATTGTTAATACAGAGGAAATAACAGCCAAAATGAATAAAAGGTTTACAGTGGCGTTTATCTACCTGACTTCATTGTTAAAGTACATTGAGTACATTGAGAACTTGAGTGCAATAGTTCTTGCTAGTATTATTTTTTGCCCAATATTACTATAATTTTATAGTCTTATTGTTCCCATTTATTAGATGCAGTAGCCTTATGCCATGAGAGATGATCTGCTCTGTCCAATGAAAGCCTTTCTCTTATTTGAAAGCAG